CACTGCCGTCTTCCTGGATGGGGACCCCGAGACGGGCCACACCAATGGCTGGAGACATTGTCAGACATGGCCCAGTCGCGCCCTCATCGGCGCTCGTGCATCCAAGCTATTGCCTTCAATGCATAGCTCCTTTTCCAACCCCCCGCTTGACAACCCACTGACAGTGCTGGATTTATGCACCAAATTACCAGCTCGCGCGTGCAATGCGCAGCTACCTACCCCCTCCCCCAAATCATCGGTGAATGAAACTGCGGCAGCTGCAACCACTGTATGACGAGTACGCGGTTATTACAGCTGACAATGATGATGATGATGATGATGGTTCTGTCGCATGTCGGTCCGTCCCTGGGGCTGGCAGCAGGCTAATCTGGGAGCCGGTACCCTCCACTTAGGAGGTACGTCACGGCTGTCCGGTTTCCCATGCGACGTGGTCCCCTCACCGAACCGCAGTCTGTTGCCTGAAGTTGGTTCACTTGACGCGGCTGTGCTGATGATCTTACGTGTGCCCCGTATGTGGCATAATCGACCCTGCGTCCACCTTGGAGAGCATTCCCCAAATATTTGAATCAGGGGCTGGTCTCTGTGTGACTGTTGTGGCGTTCGTCCTGTCGGCTCCCCTTCCTTGACTTTCCGGATAGCAGTAGAACGAGCCGCCTGAACCTGCGAGTGTAAACTGAAGGGTTCAGACCGCAAGTTGCGGGCTGCTGGCAGGGTTCACCAAATTGGACTGAGATGAGAGGGCTACCGCTGCCGGACGCCAGAAGCTGAATAGTCGCTGTGCCGCGTATGCTCCATCTGGTCTCCGGTTTGGCTGTAACTGTGGCGACCACCAAATCGTCAGAACGTGATGTTCTCGCGAACGTATTGGAGCCATTTGCGGTTGTTTCGTCACAAACGGCAATGAGGGGTTCATCCACCAGTTGAAGCTCATTAATCCAATCCAGGCCCAAGAGATCAAGGCCTGTGTAGTTCGTGAGGTAGCAAGTACGATTGATTTGAACCCCCTTGAACATTACGGAACAGTTCAGCTTCCCGGTCAGTTTGAGGCTTCCACCATGTGCATTACGAACGGTGCACTTTGTGGGTTCCACTGGTGGCCTTCCAATTACGTTCCAGGTTCGTTTTGAAATCAGAGTGAGGTCAGAACCTGTATCCAGTTGGAGAGTAACTGGTGTGCCATTGATACATAATGTGACAAATTTACGTCGACCAGGTGATTTCATCCTGAATGTGGCGGTCATAGCCTCTGCCTGCGTCCTTTTGTCGGGTCGGTGTTTGCGCGAGCTCCTGAAGTTGTCTCTGCAGCATTTTTTTCTTTGTGACCCTTTCGACTGCACTTACTGCACCTGTGGTTCCGGTAGGGACAGTGGCGTGAATAGTGCCATTCTTCACAAAACCAACAGTGTGTGGGCGGTTTTCTTGGAGTTCGTTTAGAATTTGGCTTCCTTTTGGAAGTTACTTTGCATACCATATCCGGCTGAGAGAATTTGGAATGTCCAATCTTTGCAGCATCGGCCTTGAGATTGATAAGATACTGGCACTCGGTGGTCAGTTTCTGAAGCGTCAACCCTGGATCCTGTTCAATTCGATTCAGTAGCCAGGTTTGAGTATCTGCATCGTGCGGTGATTGAAGACCAGCCACAAAGATGAGACACTTGAATTGATCCTCGGTCATGGAGCTGAGCTGAAAGCGCTCGCATTCTCTGTTGACCACACCGGCATATGTGATGAAATCCTCACTTATCCCCTTTGGTAATCTTGAGACACTGATAACGAATATTGAACAAGGAACTTTGCTCACCGAATATTTGGGCCAGAATTTTGACAGGTAGACAATATTAGACGTGCTAGAATGGAATGGAGGATTCTACGAAAGGTTTAAGTACTGTTGGCTTTCCAAGATGGGGCGAGATTGATTAAAGACACTGACAGATATGGCGACTAATCGATGTCAGTTGCACTTAAGCTATCATTGTTTATCCAGACTGTCTACGTGATTGTTGGAGGTGTGGGTACCTCGTTTGTTTGTGGTAATCTGGCCCTGGGTTCCCCTCGTCCAGTACAGACAATATCCATTTAGCCATTCCAGTAACCGAGCTTCAGCGACTATCTCTACAATATGTAGTTTACATTCGGGGTGATCCGGTCATGTTGCCACAGCATCGGCATTTAGGCTCGAAATCCGAAAATATTCGTTACGCGTAGAAATCGGAAACATTATGTTAGGTATGACGAACGCTCTTCTTTGATCAGACGGGCCAGATCTTTCACCTATAGGGTGGAGAAACAGGTAAAACTTGCATTCATGGATTAAATTCGTACCTGACGAGTTGCTGATGCCTGGAGTTCACGCCACAAGTGACTTTTAACAGTCGAGGAACACTGTGGAACTATTTTCCCCTGGTGCGTTTATCACGAATAGCTGAGACGTTCTGACAATGCGGCCTTCTTCGTCGTAAATGTGCACTATGATATTCAGCCGCAGGTAGTTAATCAATGTCGTCAGCTTGTATCTTAGATAATAGCCACCATCCCTCAATAACAGCTCACACCACGTGATGCTCATCTGCACTGGTCAGTGGACGGACTTGTCTGGTTTTATTGCTTTTAGACTAGAGCGAAACTCTGCAAGCTGCTGTTACGTCGAGCGGCACACATATCCGTAGAGCCTTATTTATCAGTTCTCAGTATCCTGCGAACCAATCATTATCCTGACGGATCGTCAACCATCGGATTGCTACGAATTCAAGGAGACACCCAACAGATTGTTCGGACAGAAAAACGATGGCTTTCAGGCGCATTCCCTATGTAGCCCCCACCACAGATCACCTATACTAGTTGCGATGATGACAGCCAGAAGACCAATCTCATCTCATTGCCCCCGTGGGGGCGGGGCACTATTCAAACGGACAGGACGATGGGATTGTCTAGGTACACATCTTTCTGACCAGTGACGGATGAACTAGGGACTGCGAGTAGTTTGGTGCACACAGAACACACCTGGCAACACCTTCATTCTGCCAAAGCGTTTACAGCCATTCATAAAGTGAACCCGTCAAATAAGCTACCCTACTTGTTTGTTATCCGCGTCCTTCGACCACTTTGAAAACTATACAAACGAACCAACTAATCCAAGGTCTTGCGTTTTACGAATTTGACTCGATATTTTCACCGAACAACTCGGATTGAGTTGATTGTAGTTCATATGACACCCCTTACCTCTTCCGCCTGTCAGTACTTTACTCAAGTGACCTACCACATTCTCGTTTGCGTTGATATGTACATCGTTCTAATATGTCGATTAGTTTGTCCTTTTTAGGAATGCGGGTACTCATGGGAATCAACGTCCATATTTGACATTTTGTTGGAATGTCGACTACACTTTCATGTATCCGCTAACTGAACCTGTTGGGACTCATTGTCCTTAATCTGGCTTCTTCATACTTTACAGTGGTTGCGATCGATAATAACTACACTCGTTTACTGCTTCTGGAGCACAATGCACAAGTTTACGGTGTATCCCACAACATCCTACCTGTCTGTGGGGATGCGGTATCGATCATTGGTTCGTTGCGTTCCTCAAACGTCCCAGTATCTGACCCATCCAGCTCTGCACAACCTTCAGCAGCAGGATCCGCATCGAACGAGGACTGTTTTCCTGAGGCAGCATTGGATGTGGTCCGAGTCGCACAACCTCAAGGCTTCTCACCAACAGTTGTCGACGTTATCTTCTTATCTCCACCTTGGGGTGGACCTGGTTACTCCGGCGTTGTTCTCCCTCCGGGTTCCAGCAGTTGGAACAAGCGAAAGCGTCGGCACTGGTTCCAGTCGTCTGGAGACGCAGTGGAGCCAACAAAAAACCTGGAGGATATACCGTTACTGCTCCCTGCCCTCAGGTCAGCCTCTCACATTTGCCATCGGATATTGGTGTACTTGCCACGGAGCTGTTCGATCGGGCAAATGCTTCGGTTGTCTTGGCCTTCGGACGAATGCGACTGTCGTATGTGCGGCCAGTACAGAGCTGTGTCGCTGGAGGAGTACTTGGTTCGAGGACGGAGAGTAGCATTGGGTCTGCATATTGGAATGGTGCTGGAATAATCTGATCGTGTTCAGCATTGCCCTGCAACCTTTCCGCTGTAAAGTGTAAATTATTATCGAATTCTCTTCCATAAACTTCCTCGACGATCGACTACTTCATATTTTTTACTTCAGTTTGGGAGAGTTGGTGACGAAAACTTTGCCCGGTCGTCACCGAACTGGCGGCAGCTAAACTAAACTGCAATAGCACCCAGAGTTCGCTCTTGGTGTTTTTAAGCGAGAACGATGTGAATTCCACAACCCTCAATGATTAAAATTAAAGGTGCCGATCTTTGTAGCCCATGTGGGCTTAGTGGAATAGTTTCCCCGTTCTCTCTCGAAGGAAGCAAACACTTCTCTACCAACTTCACTACACTCCCCAGTAACGCACTGATGATTTCACTTCGATTGATGATGAAACTACTGCAACCCAATTGCAAGCTCAGTGGAAAAAACAACGACCAAACCCAAGAGTGTATTGCATACCGAGCCGCTGATTTAGGATGAAAAAAATCACTGCATTTGGACGCACATCCATAACACTCCTTAGAAGCCACACGGAAATATTTTGGTTATCCACCCTTGGCAGAAAGGTTCACAGTATTTCTTCCAAACTCAGCAGCTACTTGGGTGGCATCCGAATTCCTTAGATTACTAGTGCATCAATAGGTGTCACCGTGTTTGGACAGGAGTACAGGGTTTGCTGGACAGAGGGTCGCTAAAAGCCAGTTCACTCGCGCAGGTTGTATGGAGGGGGCCGCAGGAATGTAGACACAGGTGCACGGACATCTTACGATTCCACTCTTTCGTGCTTTCAGTTTGGATACATTGTTTGATTTAATAGCTTGCTGCTATATTCCATTTTGAATATCCTGTAAGTGTCCAATACGAAGTGATTGCACCTGCCATAAACCATCTGCATTGCGCTGTTCGGATTGGGTGAACTGATCAGCTGACTTCTCATAAGTGGTTGCGGTTCTGTCGGAGGACATGTAGCTCAATAAGCATACAGTTGGGATATGTATGAGAAAAAATCGTCCACCTGTAGCAACCTCTCGGCGCCTAGCTTCCATACCAACGGAAGGAGGCACAAGGGCTGGGATACTGCTAGGTTGCCCGAGCCTAGGCAGATGCAGTCGATATATTGAGGCGCTTTAACCACTGAGCTATCTCGAGCTCGGTCGAGATGTACCCGAATTGTGAATAGGTGTACACACCATCAGCAAATAGTGGCATCAGCAAGTGTATGGTCGTAAGAAGCGCCAAATGGAAAATCGGACCACCAATACTGACGAGCATGTATCTGAATTCCACTGGGATGAGATAGCTCAAGTGGTTAGAGGGCGAACTTACTGGCCGGAAGGTCCGGTTCGAACCCGATCTCTGCACCTAGACTTCTGTCTAGAACCAAGTAACCTGGCAGTGTCCCAACCCTCGTGCTTCCTTTGGGCAACGTGGTAGCCAGGTACTGGAAGTGTCACAGCTGAACGACTGAATTGCACTGTGTATGATCCTCCAAATCACCCATATGTCAAAATAATCCATGTAACTTTGATCCTGGTAGGTAGTGATGTCGTCGTCTATGACGAGTTTGTGATCATATTCGCTAGGCATGGGGCATTTGGTAGCCTGGTACAGTTCCTAAGTCGCTGCAGGACGTACTATCATCCAAGGCACACGAAAGTAGAAGGGGCTTCATCTGAGACCGAGCACACACTCTTTGCACGTCACGATAAGTTCCAAAACAGGTTGCGAGTAAGAAAAATCAGACAATAGGAATGCAAGATCACAGTCATCTTGGTCGAAGGTATAGACGTTCTGTAACACGGACAGGGTCCAGGTCAAAAATTGGCGGTATAACTTGGGCGGGAGGGGTAACTGACTCGAAATGTATCGGTTGACGGTTTTCTGAGACAGGAGGCAACTCATCTTGGCATCCGACACAGTCATCTGAAGTAAAAGGGGAAAAAGTACAGCACTAGTAAACTATCAGTCACGACGCCGAATGGATCAAAAGTGCAATCCGTTGGGTTGACTGCGCTATTGTCTTGTTGACAGCTAACATTCGTGGATGAACAGCTAACGCGCAGTATGGAGTCTATCAAGGTGATATGTTACCGAAGGAACTGTATAACAAACTCACGAAACGCGTGAAATGTTTACCGAAGAGACCTGTCTGAAGTGGCGATGTAATAGTACAGAAATTGTACAGCTAGACAGCTAACATCGTGGATGAACAGCTAACGCGCAGTATGGAGTCTATCAAGGTGATATGTTACCGAAGTAACTGTATAACAAACTCACGAAACGCGTGAAATGTTTACCGAAGAGACCTGTCTGAAGTGGCGATGTAATAGTACAGAAATTGTACAGCTAGAAGAATCTACAGACTGAAAAGCCGGGCGTTTTATATTAAGGAGAGCGGCATTGTCTTTCCCACAGCAGTCATTCAAGATCCCAAGCGAGCCGGAATACCGGTAAATTTCCGGTTTTTGCGGTATGCTTCTTATCCGAATAACACGGTCCTTCCAAGTAAAATACTAAGCCTACTCTGATTGGTAACTCGTAAATTGCTGCTGAGAATCGGGATACCTTGGCACCTGAAATCATTGACCAAGAGTTGAAAGAGTCGTTCCGAAAGAAGTGCAATTGGAATGCCAAGGAACGAACACGTATAATCAGATCATACGGACGCTTCCCGATGAAATCTTCACTTGAGGAACTAGACCACAGCAGCTCACGTGATCGACTACACGATTCTGTCCAGGTGCAAGGCAAACACTGATGAAGTCTAACCAGGCGGTTTTGGGTTCATGGCTCACTAGGGATGTGAGCCGTCATGAGAGCGATACAGTTGTACGGTGATTCTGAATTATTCAGTGTAGTTTGACTATACCTAAAAGCTACATATCAGTTCTTCAGTGAGTTGGTCTGGCTGGTAGCCACCCAATCAGTTCTACCCACCTCCACCTGCTGTACCACATGGTAGATGTGACCCATTTCGAAAATATCAGCTATAACGTAATTATCCGATACCTAACAAGGCATTTTATGAACAGTAGGTCACCAGCCTTCAGGCGGACCAGCACTTACAATGCTGTTTTCCACCTGCATAGTACAAAAACAGTGAATCAGACCATAGCGTCACAGTATCATAGATACTGAAAAATAGTCTTAACTTGACCCACCTCTGATTAGGTAAATCGACGTCAGGGGAAGTAGAACTGACCAGTGATGGAGGATGTAGCCAAGGAAACATAAGAGTGTGAAAGATACCAACAAAAATGGCCCAGTGATTGCCCAGTGCCTATAAAGTTAAGATGAAACGTGAATATGTGAATTCAGGAAGCGCCGCGAGCGGCGTGACGGTCACAGATTTTGGCTATCAAATTAATTAAACGAAAGTGATTAGCACAAACGACCGAAATAACTACAAACATGCAATGTGACCGAGCCATATTGTGCGATAAAACGGGTGCGTTTGGTAACCGAGTTCCGGCACCACAGAAAAATAAAGTCTTTAAGTTGTAACACCCTCTCAGTGCCTAGCTACAATGCCACCCGAAGTAAGCACGAGGAATGGGATACTGCAGGTTGCCAGACAGAAGTGGGTTGGGATAATGGATACTCCGGTTAGTAACTTCGCGTTCCGACCACTGTGCGTTCTCGCCCCGTGTGGCGTGGTTCATTTGTGACACCTGCGCAATTCGAAAGCATCACGGGGGGAGCGAAATTCACCCCATATGTCCAGGCCTAGCCGGTAATAGAAAAACGGGGTCGCCTTCAGACGAACGACCGCAGTCGGCAGTCTATCGGGTTTGCGTCCAAAACCACACCTATTTTGCTCCATAATTTTTATCCGGACCCTGCTCGTCGCCACCTGAGTTCGGGCGAAGTGTAGCCTGCATATAAGCATAGTTCCTACGACTAACAGCAGTGTCATACCGGTATTCGCGTAGTGACATCAGCCGCGTCGCCTCCCATACTATATACATCATGGCGGGCAGGCGACTTCTCTTTTCATTTCCCACGTATTTTTTCTCTATCCCATTAATAACTCTTCTTGTAGACACAACCGTCAAGAGTGACAACCCAGTTCGTCTTGTGCTGGTCTGGGTCCGTCGATGCTGACGACCTAAAGCATCTGGAGATCAATCTTCAAAATTCGATGTCCAGTTTATCTGGCTATTCTTAGTGTTCGCACGGAACCCGTCCGCCTCCGAGGCCGACAGTTTTCAGCATTTTTTGGGATAACCACAAAGATTTCGAGATTGTCAAGAAATAGCAGAAACTCAGCTATGAATGGCAAGTTTCAAAGACGTAATTATCCGTATGTTTTCAGTTTTGAGCTGGAGGTGACAGCTTCTGAGAGGACCCTGAGCTCACCTACCACGCCGGAAAACGGCTGTTCACCATGTAGGGACTTCAGTCATCGAAAGGCACGCTTGGATGTCACCAATGGCAAAGAACGTAATGTTTTCCGGATCTGGTGAGGGAACATCGAGAATACGGGTTCGCGTGCTCGCTGACAGCTTTTCTACTGAAAAAAACTCGTTATTCCAAAAATTCCGCTAAGTTCACACAAGATCTGGCTTGCTCACGTTCTCCCTGGGTCAACAAGGAGGCCGCATGCCTCATGGTGCAGCAGAATGCCGTTATCGTCGAAAAGCTAGCTTGGTCGACCAAATTGGAAGCCTGAAAGCATCTATGGACATCATGAGAACAACAATAGGACACAGGACATACACCAAGGAGGTGTGGACCACCACCTAGTACTAGCACGCACTTGCAGCGAGCAATGGATAGTGCTACATGGTGAAACCGACGTTACGAACAACTCCACAAACCATAAACTGTAAAACACTCAATTTTCTTGCAGTAAGCGTCAATTATAAGTGTGATACATAGAACACGTGGCCCAGTGTTCAGTAGAAAGCGCCGGTTGCAGTACGACCAAAACGGTTTGGGACGAATTTCCTGAGCACAGGGTCTCGTATGTGAGAATCAACGTACCTGCCTTGTGGCCTGGTGTCTTTTGAGATTCGCGACATCCTTGAATAGGGCGGTGGTACGAGATAATATAGACTTAATCAGCACGAGTTCGTGATTTTGTGAAAGTACGGAATTTTCCGGAGCGGGGTGTCCTACTGTAAGGCTGCTGTGTTGGTGTATAAGTTCCCATCAGTACGTCCACACATTCGAGACACAACGAAATGTGTCGACGAGGAAGACACAACGTTAGAATTACGAACAATGAGAATTACCTGTGTGGTAAGTAGGTGATGCCAATAAGGCCAAGCCATTCATGAGGAACGAGAGCCCAGATAAGGTAGGTAGCTAAAATGGAGGGAAAATGGCTTAGTTAAGCACCATTCCAGTGGATTGCCAAGTTAAATCAGAAACTAGAAACATGACCTTTGGATTTATTTTCTCAACGTAACTGCAACCCACGTTTTCAAGACATGTGGGCTTCCCAGACGAAAGCGCTTGTGACATTACCTACGCTGCGTCGGAGGAGTTAATGTGAGTGAGAAGCATAAGGAATTGTCCAAAAATCAGCATTATTCCCCAATGAAGAGATTAGAGGATTTGGTGAATAAACTAGCTGACAAACCGTGTTCAAGCTCAAAGAAATAAAATGGTATGATGAAAGGAGGTGCAATCCGAGGAAATATAAAGTAGGTGGTATCGGCTAGTGATGTGTGCTTGCTAGGTAAGCTTGACAAAAATGCCATGTGATTAGGGTACAGATAGCTAACCAGACGCCTAGTTAACAAAACGATGCAACGTGGAGTCCTGACGGGAAAAATAAAACCGCTGGTTTCTGTGCCTAATTCGGAATGGTGGAAACCTAGATGTGAACAGCATTTGGTAAGTTAGTAGACAGCGAGAGATGTCTCGAAAAATTTGGTTGCTGTTGGGGCAGTTCGACTTTCAAGATGGGGTCTACATGACCGCCCCTGTGCCTGGCCGGAGACACTGAACCGGCGCCAGTGGTGTTTAGAGCGTCAGTTTCTGTCCAGATTGTCTGACTTAGTGTTGGAGTAGGTAGCTGTTAAGCCGTAGTTGTTGCAGATTAGCCCTTTACTTCACTTCACTATCTCTTCTTTCGGTTTAAATGCTTCATTGAAGTAAATTGACAGGGGCGCACGGCAGTGAAGCACCAGTGTTCTTACCTGGTGTTGCAGTCAATGATGATGATGCTGAAGCAAGTCATTAAGACGGATCTTGTATTGTAGGACAAATCCCCAGTTGAACTCGGGGGTTACAGTTACTGTCACAGTGGTCTAACCATGCCGTGCAAATGTGAATAGCCGATGAGTGCCTTAGTGTGCACACAAACGAGCACATGCATCTGAGTTCGAAGCATTCTTCGTTGAAGCATAACAGTAAGTCAACATGAGCGTCCTAGACATAAACGTCACAAGGCAGTACGTTACTCTTAGGTGGTCACTTTAGTATACTCTACTTTAGTATACTCCGCACATACCCAGGATCGACGACACCGCTGTGATCAATATCTTGCTTATGCAGGCAGAAACAATCTTGAACAACCTCGGACCTGGTTGCACATGCGGCGCGACTCACGCCGCATGTTCCAAGGCACATCCTTAAAAATATATTTAAAATATCGCTCAGCTGTAACATCCTTCCGGTGCTAAGCTGCCTTGACGCCCGGAGGAAGCACGAGTGCTGGGACACTACCCAAGCCTACACAGGAGGGGGGGGGGCGAAAGGCAGAGGCAGAGGTCGGAGTCGAACCACGCGCCTTCCGGTCAGCAAATTCGCCACCTAACCAATTAAGCCATCTCGTCCTAATGCACATCCTACATACAGCCCATCAGTGAGTTCGACGTAATGGTCAAATTAGGAAGCGGATGAGTGAGTGGAACAGCCCGCCGCTGTAAACCCATCGTAAATGCGATGGCACTTTCCCCAAGTGAGCAACTGAAATAGTGAGAGTGCATAACCATAGCAAGTTGCCCTCTCTACGGCATATACTAAGGAGGATAATAATCATTCGGCTGTAACGCACTTTGGGCGTTTAGCTGCTGTTATACCTGCTGTTTCGCTAACCTGTGGTATCTGCTGCTGCCCCGCTCTAGTGCCCAATACCGGAAAAAATACTCTCAGAAATGAACATAACTGCTATATTCCGAACAAGCGAATGTGAGAGCGTGAGTGCATGTGGGTGCAAAAGTACAACGGTCTCAAGCTATTTATTGGAGGGACATTGTCTGGACTTGGTCCCACGCCGACGTACACGTTTGGCTTTGGTACGAGGCTGCGACGTGCTGCATATTGCGGGGGCGAGGAGCTGAGTCTCGGTGGATTTCGGGCACTCAGTGGTTGCTTTTAGGAAGCTGACCTTCCTGACAGCTATTATGCCACCCGAAGGAAGCACGAGGGCTAGGATAATGCCTAAACAGGAGTTGAGAGAAAGAGAGAGGTCGAGGCCAAACCACGAACCTTCCGGTCAGTGCATTCGTGCTCTAACCACAACCATTTAGCCCCAGTGATCCACTTCTGTATATACTGCTATATTACAGCCAGGTTCTCAGAGCAATCTAAACAGTAAGTACAAAAGACATTTTCTCCACTGAAGAGGAACGTTGAAGAGATCCCGAAAAGCCAAATCATAAAACGCACACTCTATGGATATTTTCAATGCACAGCAATACACTGATCCCAACAGCCTTGCCGGAATGGAGGCGAGAAGATGAATAACAATGCGCGGAACTGGTGCACATTCTTATCCCACAATGATGTGCGCAACCATGACAGTCCAAACAGCTTACGTGACACTTCATGTTAGCGTCGTGACAATATAGAGGGCAGCGTTCTAATGGCCAAGTAACCTTTCTCGAACGCTACCGCATCTCAGCGAATTCAGGTCGTAAAAATGGAAACAAGCTCATTCTAACCTGAAGTAGGCCTGCAGAGGTAATGATAAAGAACGCAACAATGGCAGCATGAAATTGGAGGGAAATGTGTACATTAGGTACGACTCACTCGAACGAGAAAGTGCAGTCATACCCAGGTGCTACCTAGAGCGAAAGTAGGAATCTATTCATCATCTAGAAACCATAAACTATAAGTACATTGGTTCCAGCTACTAATGGCTAGATCACCAGAAATTGGGGGAGTGGAAGACGTGCAGCCAAGCCTTTGAGACGATGGCACGTTCAGTTTGTTCGGGAATTAGGTAGTTACGTATTGAATGCGACAGCTTTGATGCACGAGCGTCACTGAATGATGGTTGGACCATCTCTACTGCTCATGCAGCCGAATTTGATTGTGGTATGAATCAAACAGAACTCACCAAACAACACGATTGAAGCAATGTAAACGACGAAGCCGTACATGGCTCTCTCAGCCAACGGTCCTGGGTTAGAGGCCGGCGTAGGTAGCTATTATGCCACCCGAAGGAAGCACGAGGGCTAGGATAATGCCTAAACAGGAGTTGAGAGAAAGAGAGAGGTCGAGGCCAAACCACGAACCTTCCGGTCAGTGCATTCGTGCTCTAACCACAACCATTTAGCCCCAGTGATCCACTTCTGTATATACTGCTATATTACAGCCAGGTTCTCAGAGCAATCTAAACAGTAAGTACAAAAGACATTTTCTCCACTGAAGAGGAACGTTGAAGAGATCCCGAAAAGCCAAATCATAAAACGCACACTCTATGGATATTTTCAATGCACAGCAATACACTGATCCCAACAGCCTTGCCGGAATGGAGGCGAGAAGATGAATAACAATGCGCGGAACTGGTGCACATTCTTATCCCACAATGATGTGCGCAACCATGACAGTCCAAACAGCTTACGTGACACTTCATGTTAGCGTCGTGACAATATAGAGGGCAGCGTTCTAATGGCCAAGTAACCTTTCTCGAACGCTACCGCATCTCAGCGAATTCAGGTCGTAAAAATGGAAACAAGCTCATTCTAACCTGAAGTAGGCCTGCAGAGGTAATGATAAAGAACGCAACAATGGCAGCATGAAATTGGAGGGAAATGTGTACATTAGGTACGACTCACTCGAACGAGAAAGTGCAGTCATACCCAGGTGCTACCTAGAGCGAAAGTAGGAATCTATTCATCATCTAGAAACCATAAACTATAAGTACATTGGTTCCAGCTACTAATGGCTAGATCACCAGAAATTGGGGGAGTGGAAGACGTGCAGCCAAGCCTTTGAGACGATGGCACGTTCAGTTTGTTCGGGAATTAGGTAGTTACGTATTGAATGCGACAGCTTTGATGCACGAGCGTCACTGAATGATGGTTGGACCATCTCTACTGCTCATGCAGCCGAATTTGATTGTGGTATGAATCAAACAGAACTCACCAAACAACACGATTGAAGCAATGTAAACGACGAAGCCGTACATGGCTCTCTCAGCCAACGGTCCTGGGTTAGAGGCCGGCGTAGGTATACGAACTGGACCAAACTGTCAGCGATAAGTGTCATGCTTACATTCAAATGTTTTGAAGTCATTAACTGAACAGCTGTTTCTAGACCGCATTTCGGCTGAAAAGGAACACGTAGGGTGTGAGGGAGTTCAAAAGAGGCAGATGAAAACTTGGGCGTATTTCTCCTTCAGGAGTTAGCACAAAAAGCAACGCATATCCTATATCATATGAAACAAATAGTAGCATTGTAGCAAACACTCCTTTCCATGTTGGTTGGTTCACATGCAAGCATTGGTGATATACACACTTGCTTACTGAGCTTCGGTTCTCGAGCTGTGTTTCTGCTTTTCTGGCAGTAGTAAGACCTACTTAACTCGAGGTATAGTATTTACTCGGCCGGCCTAAAACCGTCAAATTGAGGTGGCGTTTGGGTTCCCTTCACTTTGTTCCATTTGGTCTCCTTTGTGGGCAACCTAACGCGCTGCGACGGCCAACGAACCAACTCGCGCATGATTGGTCGAAAGAGGAAGCCGCTTGCCGGCCCAGCCTAATGGTGACCTCGGTTCTGTTGACAATGTGGACCCAGTATCAAGCTATTATCCACTAAATGCCTGCTGACAACTCTGCACCAGAAGGTGTCCGAATCTCCAGGATGTTTTCGTTGCATGTTTCTAAAGTACTACACGGTGACCAGGTTTTGGGCGTTTATCACATTCTTGGCAATGATAACGTGGCGGCTATTTCGCTGAAAACTTTAGCTTTGTAGGAGAATTCGGCTGTGACATTATAGTTATCGTCACTTCCATCTCATTTCCATCGTTAGTGGCATTCAGGCTGCATCAGCTGGATACTAATACGATTATGAAAATCGCGGTATTTTAATAACTTCTCTCCCGCTCTCTCAACTATAATGCCGGGGCACTGGGAAGCGCTGACCGAGCCCACACAACGCATAATCGGAGTCGAGTTGCACACCTCAGAATGATTGGTAATTTTTACTTAAGTCTCGTTATTGGTAATTGACAGCTACATGATCTAAAAGAGTCCACGAATCGCTCTAGGTTGTTGGCCTTCTGGTTACTCAGCTGTGCGCCTAATGGTCACACTAGCCAGGAACAGACGGGCTAAGATGTCTTCCGCCATCGTCCGTATGCTGAGCACTGATTCCAATTCTACAACTTAACTATGCTTTTTTCGCTCTTAAGCGCCCAGCTTTGGTGTCCACCTCGTCCACCACCACGTGCAAACCCGTTCTCCATGGGGACCACAATAGTCGTGACAAATCTCAATGAAGACCACTTTTCTCAGCTTCTGAACTGCGGTCTGTCAAAGCTTATACTAACCCTTGAAAAACATTTTCCTCACGGACCTGCTTTGGAATTTGTTGAGTTGGAACACTGTATAGTGCGGGGATAACCGTTTGGTTGGATCTCGACCTACAAAGTGTTTTCTCTGGAAGTGAGCACAACTTCTCCGCCACTCAGTCTTATAGAAATAGCACAGGGAAATATATATGCTCGCAGAGTGCAAAGTGAAAAGGCTGAAGGGATTTAAGGTGGGCTGACGAGGTTATTATATATGTGTTTTGGAGACAGAGCATACGTTGACAGAGAGAGCAGTTGGGATTTCAAGAGAGTGCCCGCTGTCTAAATTAAAAGTGGTCGTGGTCACTGAGGCCTTCAAAGGTTCCATATTGAGCATGATTTGAGATTCTTGTTGCCCTTTTTTCTAGACTCGGGAAAATATTCAGAAAACTTCCACATTTTGATGTGTTAGTATGGACAAGTGTCGGTGAAAGAAGAGCAGCAGGAGCAGTTGATTTTCCCTGACGCATTGAGGGAAGAGGCTCTGTGGTGCACCTTAGTTGCAGTCCATAATCTAATAGTTTTCGGAGTTTCTGAAACATTGCCTGGAGCCAATGAACGATTAGGCAGTCCGGCAGTTCACCAGTGCCGGACTAGCTGGGCGTCCGATTGAAGTGAGCTTCACTGGCGATGCTCCCGTGGCCGCAGTCTATTCGCAAAATGGGATTGACATCTTGAAATCTACGGCATTTTCAGACTTCCCACTTCATAGTGTAGAATGTCTATGTATAATTTATATGCTCCTGTATTACTGAAAATCATTTACCACCGCCGGTGAATACGTTGCCTGATGATAAAAAACCGCTAATTGTTGAAAGCGTTGACTCACTTACAATAAAAGTAACCTTCAGGTAGTTTTCCACTGGAAAAAAATTTCTGAACATTCTAGTATCTAATTGGCCTTTTGACATTCAAAAATCGCGTACGTACATTCATGCAAACAAATTTTGGTAGATGACTCTTTGTTGCCAGTAAAAATTCCGTAGTGCACGATAGTTATTTGCTAAACATCATACACGTTGAGTGGTAAAGAGCAGAGTTTTCTATTAGAGGTTGCGAATTGTGGAAGACCTCGAGATTTATCGATTAGGAACATGGAACATACGTCGATCATACCGGACAGCCGAACGAACCTAACCGACGCACACGACCAACATGCAGCTGGGAGTACACAATGCCCAGCTAACTAGCCACATAGAACTTACGTCGGTCCAAGCGGACAGCTGAAAAAACCTAACCGACGCAAACGACTAACATGCGGCTAGGAGCACGCGATGCCGGAGCGCACCCATCCATCTGCACTGGAGAAGAAGGCTCAAAATGGTCGTCATTAAATGTTGAGTTATATTCGTCGTTTTGGAGTGTATATGTCTTCCTGGGAGGGGCATTTTCTTCTTGACGAATGTTCATTTGGCCGTTGAAATCCTGAAATGAGAGAAAGATATAATTCAGGTTATCGAAATGTCAGCGTAAGGCGGGCGGCCGACATACTGGTAGAGATGCTTACCCCGAAATTTACTCCAGCGACTGTTGTAGATGCCTGTTCACACAATACTATCTTCAGCGGTTGTTTCGCATGGCTGTTTACTGCACCTCTCAAGAAATACGAGACTTACATGAAATACACAGGGCGTCATTAACGAACTATTCGGAGCCGATGGCTCACATGAAGTCATCTTCGTCTCTTTCATATAGCTGGCGCTCTACAGCGTTAGTCGTAATTGTCGGACATTGACCCACGGCTGTCGAGTAGTTGCCCTCTGGACCAGAAAACACGGACGTACACAGACTTCCGGGACACACCGTGCTGAGACTCTGAGCTCCAGTCCAGGTCAACATCATAAGACGTCCTTTTCGGACCGGGTGGCAAGCATACCTCCGCGTTTTCTGGTTGCACCCGGAGCTACGAACCAAAAGTAATTTATTTTCACGCGGACTCACCTTTCGGACAAGCTTGATGAGCACCACCACACAGTGGACAGCGTTCACCGTCACAACAGTCGGCGTGATATGACACGCGATCCGTTGCACACCAGCGGTTACTGGTAGTGGTCATCCGGTCACCAAGCACACAAGAGTCCAATTCAGCGTTCTTGGGCCGCTATCTGGGTTAATGTGCAGTATCCTCGACCACCAACGACAGGCCGTCAGTTGCAGACTTTGAGCCTCGACGCAGCAGGATTTGTCCCTAAACAATCAATCGCCTAAATATGGCTGTGGACCCACTGGCTTCAAACCCCTGAAGCTTACCCATCACTCGGTTCAGTTGTTTACGAAGGCCGTCGGAAGTTGACGGTGATGGTTTGGGGACAAGTGTCAGGGGTACATCTTTCTCCGATTGGTTGCAATCCAGCAGGCGTTTATATCCACATGCAGCATATTAGATGCTTTAAAAAACTTACCAAAGACGGTTTGTTGCATGCGTTCCGTCTACACTTACCCCATCTGGAAAGCGTCGGAATAACGCTATCTGCTGCCATCGGGAGAAACACATGTGGCCATGGTGACCTTGCTCCACCTGACAAACAAGGACGCGTCCGGTCTCCAGAAGTTTTGCCAGGACCGAAGGCGTATCATCTGCTAAGTTAAAACCCAAAAATGCGGCATCTACTCAGCATAGCCGGTCAACACTTCCGGTGGTAGTTGCATATATCCTTAGTGGCAAGAGTCCTTCTGAATTCATCCGCCAAAAAATGCCGCGCCTCACATGACGGCGTTCCATATTTCAACAGGGCCTTGCATGTTCTCAACTCGTCTTCGGTTAGGCGTCGAATAACTGGTTACCGATCGTACAGAAGCTTTGACAGTTTGTGGTTTTCGCTTGTGACAACACAGTACTTGGTTTCCCAGAAGTCTAGCGACTGCCTCGGCTGTAGTCGAGCTACGACGTTGGATCGATACTGACGGTCCATTGGGTACACGGTAAAGGATATGAAACGACTCATTCGGAATGACTACGTGCCCGGTGTCAATTGAGTTGGACTCAACACTTGGGCTTTTGGCTTAACTGTTGAGTCTAATGGCAGACAGAAACCCAGATGACGATTTAATTATCATGCTGTTGACCTACGAATTGGTGACAAACTCGTATCGAACCACCCATCATTTATTCAGAAGGTTCACGCAGAGTATTGGTTGCTTCACAGCCAAAAGCTCACTCAGTAACAGTACGTAAAATTTAATGGGATTTCTCTGTCCATTCAGACTACTTATGTATCGTGCGTTTTTTTTTGCGTAGTTAGTTGAAGAAAAGGAATACTACCATCCAAGGGTGCAAAACTATCTGTTCTTTGTGGTCCAAACATGGACGAAACGCGTTGCACGCAGACCATTCATATATTTTTTTAACTTGAGCAAAAGGATCCAAAGGACACACATTCTGTTTCGTATACAGTTTGGTCTAATCGGAAAGTCACAAGCCTCGTAGTGATCAGGTCGTCAAAAACGAAACTGAAGTTCTAGGCTGTAACAAGAGACCTGGAAGTCTATTCATGCACAAACCAAACTGAAGCAAATGATTGGCTGGTCCTAGTCACGTGATCCATATCGAAACATACAACCACTGCATACGAGGCTCAGCTGCTCAACAGAAATTTGCACCGAGGGCAGCTCGTGGCTTGGTGGCCGATCGGGACAAGGTTGGGGGAGGCACTCATGGTTCACGGTTCGAGTCCGGGCGACTTCGCTCGATGCCTTTTCGACTTCCTTGGTTAACATGTTACTTCATAGGATGCCACTGTTTTTGCTGAGTCAT